ACTCTTAACCAAAATAAATGATAATCAAATGGTAATGTTAAAAAAAAAAAAAAAAAAAGTACTCTTAACCCAAGGTAATGTTAACCAAACTGATAACCAAACTTTAAAGAACATAACTTGTAGATAATAAAGTCCACTTTGTTTTTAATTTTTATTTAACTCTATTAGAGCATATCCAAGTTGGCGGCTTGCCATTTCTTGAATGATTGATCACCGCGTAGCATTACTCGTTACAAGCCGTTGTTCGAAATGGACATTGACCGCCCGGAAAACACAACGGAGAAAACAAGTGAAGAAGAAGATTCTCAATGCTAATATATAATAATCTATATAATAAAATAATTTATAATTTAAATTTCAGAAGATAAAATGACTTTTATTATTCGCGATTGAGATCGTTTTACATTTTACTTTAAAATTAATCTAGCAGTTAATATTCACATCATAAATTTAATAGCAAAAATAGGCCCTTAAGAATGTATTTGGAGTGACTTTAAATTATTTTTAGAAATTATTTCTTATGAATACTTAAAAAAAAATAATATTTGAAATCACCTCACCACTACCTCTACCACTACCACCACCACCACCACCATCGTCGCCGTTACCCTTGCCCTCACCCCCACCACGGTTATTGCTACATACCACAACCATCACTGTCTCTTGACCCCATCACTGTCGTCCACCACCTCTTACTCCCACAACAAAATGATGCTTAAATTTATTTATCTCGTCTCTACATTATGATTTGATTTTGGATATGAATACAAATATGTTTACTGTTTACTATTTTTTTTACTTTGTGCCTTCAGGCACAAGCAATATTTAGTATACTAATATAACATATGACGTATAAATTCGAGTAATAGTATGCGGTGACTTGAGGTTATATGTCGAATTCCTTCTTCTCCTTTTATAATAGTAATAGATCCAACAATCATTCAAGAAAATATATAGTCGATTTGTCCATCCGGACCCAACTTCTCTCCTAAAAAACCATATCAACATTTAACCAATTGTAAACAACTTTATTGATTGCATAGTAATTGATTTTATAATGGGATTTATTAGAATCACATACCGCATCATAACTCATGCTTATGCTAAGTTATGTATTCTTGGGAAGAAAATTCAAAGTAAATAAATTTATAAACGTATTTGCGTAAGATAAAAGCTCTTATTTTTTTCAAAAGTTGGAATCTGTTTGTCTTAACACAGAGAAAGATAGAGAGATTGTAAAAAATATTCAAACTCATTGTTAAGGAAAGACATGTTACCTAAAAACAATAGAAGCGGTTTAAGTCATTATATGTCATCAAAGTGCCATCGCTTTGTTAGATTTATGTAAATTTTGATATTTTTTTTTTGTAAGTCATGTATAATTAATTGATCTCAATCCAACCACGAGGGGTGTAATTGTTTATAAGAGAAGTGATGAGTCTTTTCAGCAAGTCTAGGACTTAACATTATTGTCAACAATTATTGAATTCTCACATTTGTCTTCTCTATTAAAAATTATATTGGGACTTACACTTAAATCAAGTGTTTGAGTCAACTTGTGAGTATTTCGGTTAATTTTCTCCTTATTTAATCAAAGGCAGACTATCTACATCAAAACTAAATTATTCATGAGAGATAAATTTTGCAGAGACAAAGAGAGTGTGTTATCCAATTGTCTTGTGAGACTTATGTAATCTTTGATATTTTTTTATTAATTTTTGTTTGGTAAGTTACTCACATTACAGTTATAAGAACTCATTTATATATAATTAATTTTATTTTTATCAAAAATAATAAAAAAAAATATATATATTAAAATTGATCTCAATCTAACCAGGGATGTTATTGAATTGTTTATGAGAGAAGTCATGAGTCTTCAACACGACAGGGACTTTGATTTTAAATGTAATTGGGACATCATTTCTTATGGGCTGTAAGATTGTTCACCCTCCCCGCCATATGATATGATGTTACATGATAAGTAATATGTCAACACATATTTTTAATCTATTTAATAACAGTAATGTTATATATACTTAAAAATTAAATTTGATATTCTTAACTATTGAATAAGTGATGAATTTCAATAAATACTAAGACGCACAATAAAATTAATAATTATAATTATCAAATCTAATTTTTATATTTACAAAAAATTACTCATTTAATAATAACTTTACAGCCACAGCTGATAATGTCAATCAACAGTGTGTGATTTCAAAACAAAACAAAACAAAAAAAAAGGGCGAAACTTTTCGGCGTAGTAGTTGATGGGTCTTCTTTAATGCGACGTGGACGTTGATTTTATCCATTGTTGACCCAACCCTCTCACGTGTTGCACTTTTTTGGATTGTGTCATAATTGTAAAAATATGATTAATCTTAAAATATTATAATTAATTATAAAAAATATAATTTTTAAAAATAAATTTTTTTATATTTTTTATAAATGTTAGCATTTGAGATTTTTTTTTGATTTGTTATTTTATATCTAATTATTATACTAAAATCAATTATATATATACTTTTATATAATTTATGTTTTTTTTTTACATTTATTTGATTTTCAATTTGTTTTGGATTTTTTTGTAAGGCCGTTTAAATTTTTTTGAACTCATTTATTAGTAGTATAATTACATAGAGTTATTAAGTTGAATTCCACGGTTTAATTATTATACAATATAATTTATATTGAATTTTATGGTCCAATATTTGATATATTTTATTTTTTGTATATACAATAATATAATAATAATTATGTGGGGATAAATCTACATAGAGGTTAACCACCTTTGATAGACAAAGTAGGCGGCGGAAAAGCTATTATGAACCTCCAAGACAAGAGAATGTCTAAGTGAGCCGATGGTAGGAGATAACCAAAAAAATTCTGATGCTTAAGTCAATAAGTTAGTTGAAAAGAAAGTGTATGGCGAGTAGGCCCAAATTTAATTACATACTTGCTATCCGTAACTTTTATTTATAGTGGCATAGGAGACTGTATTTCAAGTAAAATCGAATTATAAGTTGTGATAGGAAAAATCTCATCACTAATTTCCTAAATATTCGAGATAGAATCGTATTAAAATATTGAATCTGGACTTATAAAAAGGGATATGTTTGCTGANTTTTGTAAGGCCGTTTAAATTTTTTTGAACTCATTTATTAGTAGTATAATTACATAGAGTTATTAAGTTGAATTCCACGGTTTAATTATTATACAATATAATTTATATTGAATTTTATGGTCCAATATTTGATATATTTTATTTTTTGTATATACAATAATATAATAATAATTATGTGGGGATAAATCTACATAGAGGTTAACCACCTTTGATAGACAAAGTAGGCGGCGGAAAAGCTATTATGAACCTCCAAGACAAGAGAATGTCTAAGTGAGCCGATGGTAGGAGATAACCAAAAAAATTCTGATGCTTAAGTCAATAAGTTAGTTGAAAAGAAAGTGTATGGCGAGTAGGCCCAAATTTAATTACATACTTGCTATCCGTAACTTTTATTTATAGTGGCATAGGAGACTGTATGTCAAGTAAAATCGAATTATAAGTTGTGATAGGAAAAATCTCATCACTAATTTCCTAAATATTCGAGGTAGAATCGTATTAAAATATTGAATCTGGACTTATAAAAAGGGATATGTTTGCTGAGAAATTTTGTTTATCAATATTCAATTAATACTCGCAGTCCAGTTTTGTTAAGACTTTAGGTTGCGGGCCAAGTTGAAGCGATAGGACAAGAGGTGTGGTGGTGTCAGATGCAAGTACGCCGAAGGCGGACAGCTGGGTGGCAGTCTCCAGCACTAAGGACGAGGCCTGAAATGGCGCGTTGGGCGATGTCCAAAGACTGGCAGACACCTTGGGCGACGCCAAAACTATTGGGCTGGCGCCTTGGGCGAAGCCCGGAAGCTGGGCAGCTTCTTGGGCGACACTAGAAGCATTTGTTTGCTGTGTGGGTGACGCCAGCCCTACAGTTACGTACATATATGAATTGCGCTCTTGGTGGAAAAAAGAAAAAGTTATATTATAATAATCATAGTAAGTAAAAGTAAGGCCGTACAAATATTATATTATAATAATGATAGTAAGTAACTATTATTTTATAATAATGTAGTAAGTAAAAGCAAGCTAGACAAATAGCCACATCCATGAGATCACAATACTTAATTATTTATTTAATTTAATTATACATATAATTCATATTTATTATAAAAATAAAAAAAATTAAATTTATTTTTGTGTAATGTACCTCGTGTACTACTAGTAGTACCTTATAAATATAAAATTATAACCTATTAAAAGAAATTTTTGTTGAATCATAAAAATATTATTTTGTTTATACTTCAATATCATAAAAATAGTTTGACTTACATTAAAACTCTCTCTCTCTCTTTCTCCATATTTATCTTTATTCATATATAGAATTAGACTATTTATTTCTCTATCTTAAACACAAAAAAATAATATTATTCAAAAAAAATAATAACAATTAGTATTAATATTTAAAAAAATAATAGTAATAATTAAGAATGACAGTGGACCGGATAAAAATAAATATTTGTTTAAACCCGTCCTGTTTGGATCAGGAAGAAACCATATGTATTAGACGGTGAACGTATACAGAAATACTCGTATAAATCCGTACTCGAACAAAGGCGGAGATGGACTGACACTTACCCCCGCTCGACCTCCGCCCCCGCTTTATCCGTTATGAATACAAATCTATATATTATTGAATAATTTTTTTTTTTGAATTTTTTTTTTTATTTTTTTTCATGATTTTGACTTGTAAAAATTTAGATCTTTGTATTTTTATATTTTTTTATGTTAAATTATGTTAAACGTTATGTTGTGTAACATTAAAGTGTCTACATTAAATAATATTCCTAATTTCACCCCTGCAAAGTAAAGTGATTTTATAATGAGATTTATTTGAATAACGTACCGCATCTGAGCTCATTCTTAATCTAGGTTACATATTCCTAGGAAGAAAATTCAACGTAAATTAATTCATAAACATATATTGTTAAGATAAAAGCTCTTCTTTTATTATTAAAAAAAACATTCAAACTCACAACGACACCTAAAAATAGAAACGGTTTAAGTCATTACGTCACCGAAGTGGCATTGCTAAGAGATGCATTATTCAAGGTCGATTAACTTTCCAAAACGAAGGAAAAGCTCACACTAGCTCAGATCATTAGATATCAATAGCCAAACCACCAACCCCAACTGAATTCTCAATCATTGTCTTGTCAAGCAAAAATAAATTATTCAGCAAATCGCCAGGACCTTACATGAAAACCTTTGAATCCTCACGCCACTCCACAGCAATTGGGCTTCTAACAACATGAACCCCATCAGTCCACTCAATGGACCCAAATGCCGACTTGGAGATGGAGACGGTTGCGTCACCAACCCTCTCCAATTCAACACTACTGAACGTAATCTCATACGATAACGTCTGATTTTCTATACTAAACCCCAGCTTCCTTGGCGATACACTAACCTCAACCCCCGGTGGAGGATCACTCACTTTCACCTCATAAACAACATCAACCACACTCCCAACGTTTTTAACCACCCTCTTATATTTGACCACACGATTGTTAGTATCAAACACTACAGAGAACGATGGGTAATTCAGATTCCCAGGACTACCAAAACTCAGTGCACCACAATCCACCATAGCAGGATCTCTCACAAACACGGCTATTCTCCTGGAATCATATCCAATGGCGCAAAGAAATGCCACGTAATCACCAACACCCATATCATATACCAACCCCGGATCCAAAGCTTTGTTTGGTTCCACGTGTCCGGCGCCATGAACCAACGGCGTTGATCGTTCTCCAGTGGCAATATCAATAATAGACTTACCAGTGTTGTCTACGTTATAAGCCGTGGTCATTAATGCTGATTTGATAGCAGCTGGGGTCCACTTGGGGTACGCCTTACGCAGCAATGCAGCCAATCCACTCACATGAGGACAAGATATGGACGTGCCTGAAATAATATTGAAATTCACTCTTCGCGTATCGATGTCCAGATCTGTAGGACCAGTATATCCGGTCCAACCGGCCAAAATATTCACACCAGGAGCTATAACATCCGGTTTAAGAATCTCCGCCGTCAGATAATTCGGTCCACGACTTGAGAACGCCGCGACACGTGGCGCTGATGGTGATGTTCCAACAACCGTGCCTTTGAAGGCAATCGTCGCCGTTGGTGATGAATCAGATCCGATGTAATCTCTGATTTTATCACCTGCGGTCTGACCTACCATAGTCGCTGGAATGAGATGCGCATCGGCGATGAGTTCTTCGCCACTGTCAGCCAAGTTCGCAACTATCATTCCCGCACCTCCGGCGAGGTTCACGGCAATTCCTTTCTCTACTCTCGCATTGCCTCCACGATCGCAGAGAACAAGTTTTCCGGCTACTTTTGAAGAATTTAACTCCCCTGAGTAACAATATTTGCTTCCACAGTCCTCGGCGTTGACCAATGGGAGTTTGGTTTCTCCTAGTGGATCTCCCGAATACAAGGACACTCCACCAAAGATCCTACCATCTCCAAGAATCACATCAGCTGGAAACTCTCGATCGATGGTCGAAGCACCGACCGTGAGAATCCAGGGAGCGATGTTGGCGGCAGTGTACGGATCGGGACCGGAATTCCAGCGGAGCATGATACGAGAACACCGTGTTCTACGGCTCTGAAAGCTCCGATTGCTATGGAATCGTGATCATATAGCGGAGCCTGATCTGTGTCTCCAACAGACAGAGAGATCACGTGAACACCATCGGTAATCGCTTGGTCCATCGCAGCTAATATATCCGAATCGTAACAACCTGAGCTCCAACAGATCTTGTAAGCTGCAATTCTTGCTTTAAACGCCATACCCCTAGCTTCACCTTTCGCATATTGATAGAAGCTTGCGTTAGCAACCACAGATCCAGCAGCTGTTGAAGCTGTGTGAGTTCCATGACCTTCTGTATCTCTCGGAGATTTTATTTCATCCATTGGCTTTCCAAGTCCAGCTTCATAGCCTCTGTAATAAGCTCTGGCACCGATGATTTTCCGATTACATGAAGATTCAGGAAAGTTTGGGCCGGTCTCGCAAATGCCTTTCCAAGTAGAGGGAACCGGGGAAATGCCAGTGTCGGAGAAACATGGGCGTTCCGGCCAGATTCCGCTGTCAAGGACACCAATGATAACGTCATCGGCGTAATCGGAGTTGGGCCACAAGCCAAAGGAGTCGGTAAGGCCGAGNGCGTTCCGGCCAGATTCCGCTGTCAAGGACACCAATGATAACGTCATCGGCGTAATCGGAGTTGGGCCACAAGCCAAAGGAGTCGGTAAGGCCGAGAAAGTGAGGAGTGCGAGTAGTGTGGATGTGACGGACACGGTCTGGGATGACGGAGAGGACGCCAGAGATGCGGCGGAGCTCTTTTGCTTGGGCTGCGGTGAGGCTTGCGGAGAATACGTGGATTGAACGTTGATAGGTGTAGAGGAGTTTGGAGGGGTGGTGAGAAGGAGGGAGTGATGCGATAATGGAGGAGAACCAATGGCGATGGGTGGTGAATATAGTTGGCTTATCAGATCTTGATACGTGGACGATGAAAGTCTCTGGAGATTCAAATGCTATTGACAGAGTTGCGGGGATGAGAAAGAAGGAGAAGAAGACGAAGAAGACAAATGAAGAGATCGGAGAAGCAACTGCCATTAGAGTGTTTTTCTTTTCTTTCCCTTCTTTGCGAGACTTTTTTCTTTTTTTTTTGGAGGAAACAAATATGCATGCATGCAAGGATCTAGGAAGACTTTGGTTTCTCCCGCTCCTCAACAAAAAAAAAATATATATATATATATATATATNTAGGAAGACTTTGGTTTCTCCCGCTCCTCCAAAAAGAATATATATATATATATTTTGTTAGTAAACCAAACCTTCGAGTCACTTGACAGTGATAACAAATATTATTGTTTACACATATTATTAAATATTTATAAAATAAATATATTAGAGTATTGAACTCCATTAAATAAATAATTAGTACTGGATAAGGTGATTCTAGTGTTCATTAGCATCGTAGGTTCACTAGTCTTGATTGATATTTTATAATTCATTGATTATGTCACTGCATAGCATTACTCGGGTATATAATTAATACCATTAGTAACATCACTATCTTACAGCATATCCAAATTGGCGGTTTGCCATTTCTGGAATGATTGATCACCGCATAGCATTACTCGTGACAACGCTGACAAGCCGTTGTACGGGATGGACATTGACCGCAGGATAACACAACGAAGAAAACGAGTGTAGAAGAAGATTCTCTATTCTAATATATATACAAATTTATATAATAAAATAAAAGTGTGTTTGAATTTTATTTCAGTGATATTTTTTTCTTCAAAATTATTTTTAATTACTTATCTCACCCATCATCCTTTTGTCAGACTCAAATGTCAAATAACACCACTTATTTCTATCATATGTTTAATAATTTATATATTTATTCCTTAAAAATATCACATTATTTATTTTTATCATATATTTAATTATATAATATTTGATTATTTTATAATTAATATATTTTTTAAAAAAATTAATATAATATGATCAATTTTTTGGACGCTCTAATTTTATATTAACTCGTGCCTTCAAGCAAGAGTTATGACTAGTATACTAATATAACATATGTATAACTCGAGTAATAGTAATACTATGCGGTGACTTGAGTTTATACGCCGAATCCCACCTTCTCCCTTTATAGTAGATCCAACAATCATTCAAAAAAATAGTTGTTGAATGTAATTGATTTGTCCATCCAGGCCCAACTTCTCTCTTAAAAAATTATATCAACATTTAACCAATTGTAAACAACTTTATTGATTGCATAGTAAATTGATTTTATAAAATGATTTATTAGAATCACATACCGCATCATAACTCATGCTTATGCTAAGTTATGTATTTCTGCGAAGAAAATTCAAAGTAAAATAATTCATAAACGTATTTACGTAAGATAAAAGCTCTTATTTTTTTCAAAAGATAGAATTCGTTTATCTTAGCCCAGATAAAGAGAGAGATTGTAAAAAACATTCAAACTCATTGTTAAGGAAAGTCATGCTACCTAAAAACAATAGAAGCGGTTTAAGTCATTATATGTCGTCAAAGTGCCATCGCTTCGTCAGATTTATGTAAACTTTGATATTTTTTAAAAATTTTTTTGTAAGTCATATAATTAATTGATCTCAATCCAACAATGAGGGGTGTAATTGTTTATAAGAGAGGTGATGAGTCTTTTCAGTAAGTCTAGGACCTACCAGTACTATCAACAATTATTGAATGCTCACATTTGTCTTCTCCATTAGAAATTATATTGGGAGTCACACTTAAATCAAGTGTCTGGATCAACTTAGATACATATCCGTTAATTCTCTCTCCGAGTTAATCAAATGTAAATTATCTACGCTAAAATTAAGATATTCATGAGAGATAAATTTTACAAAAACATGAAATCCATTCATCTTAGCCCAGAGAGAGAGAGAAAGAGAGAGAGTTATTCAATTGCCTTGTGAGACTTATGTAATCTTTGATATTTTGTTTGTTAATTTTTGTTTGGTAGGTTACTCACATTATAGATATAAGAACTCGTTTATATATAATTAATTTTATTTTTATCAAAAATGATAAAAAATAAATATATTAAAATTGATCTTAATCTAACCGGGGATGTTATTGAATTATTTGTGAGAGAAGTCATAAGTCTTCAACACGACGGGGACTTTGATTTTAAACGTAATTGGGACATCATTTCTTAAGGACCTCCTCGACCGTGGACCCAACCCTTTCACCTGAGATATAAGCCTTGTCGATTGTGGACCCAACCCTTTCACATGGGCTGTAAGCCTTGTCGACCGTGGACCCAGCCCTTTCACATGAGCTGTAAGATCGTTCACCCTCCCCGTCAATTAACATGGCGTGATTCACTCAACGGATCGAAGTTGAATTGAAGATATTTTGTTACAATACAGTTTAAATAATTTAAATGGATGACACCATATATCTTGAGGCATTTACATCCCTAAGTCTTGGCTAATGAGGAAGCAGCTATTCTAGCAATGCGCCAAGCTTTGGGGTGTGACAGCAAAATCTGTGATAGATCCAACAATCATTCAAGAAAATAGGTGTTAAATGTAGTTGATTTGTCTATCCGGACCCAACTTTTCTTCAAAAATCATACCAACATTTAAGCAATCGTAAACAACATTGTCCGATTGCGTAGTAAATTCTTGGAATTTATTAGAATTATGTATCGCATCATAGCTCATGGTTATGCTAAGTTACATATTCTTGCAAAAAAAAAATCAACGTAAAATAATTCGTGAACATATGTATGTAAGATAAAAGTTTTTCTTTTATCCAAAAGCATGGAATCCTTTTTTCTTAGCCTTGAGAGAGAGAGAGATAAAGTTCTTCTTTTTTTAAATCCAAAAGCATGAAATCCGTTTATTTTAGTCCAGAGAGACAGAGAGAAGTATAATGAAAAAAATTCAAACTCATTATTAAGGAATGCCACGTCACCTAAAAACAATAGAAGCCCTTGAAGTCATTATGTCATTAAAGTGGCATGGCCTTCTCAAATTTATGTAATCTTTGACATTTTTTTATTCATTGTAGTTATAAGTATTCATTTGCATATAATTAATTTTATTTTGATATAAAATAAATATATTAAAATTGATCTCAATTCAACCTGGGTTTTATTGAGTTGTTTATANGTATATAATTAATTTAACTTTGATATAAAATAAATATATTAAAATTGATCTCAATTCAACCTGGGTTTTATTGAGTTGTTTATAAGAGAAGAGTCACGAGTCTTTAACCTACAATTATTGCGAATAATTGTTGAATGCTCAGTTTTGTCTTCTCCTCGAGATATTTCCTCTCAATGTGTAATTGCATTGGTGGGTCTTATTCAATACGATGGGGACTTTGATTTTAAATGTAGTTGTGGACATCATTATTGATGAGTCTTTTAAATGTAATTGTTTATAAGAGGAGTGATGAGCCTTTTCAGCAAGTCCAGGGCGGTAGGACCTACCATTATTGTTAACAATTAATGAATGCTAACATTTGTCTTCTCCGTTAGAAATTATACTGGAATTCACACTTAAATCAAACTTTTAAGTTAACTTACACGCATTTCAATTACTTTTCTCTCCGATTCAATTAAAGGCGGGATATCCAAGCCAAGATTATGTAAGACCCCATATTAATAAAATTAAATAAGTATACTACTATCTTAAGAGTTATCCTAAGATGAATACAATGATAAAAGAAGCTTAGAATCATTGTTGAAAAATTTATCATAAAGTTTGAGTTTCGAACGAATTAAATTTTGAGTCAAACTTAGTTTTGAATAGGTTTAATCTTGAGAATAGTGATAAAGTAAGTTTCTAAATATTTTTAGATTAATATAAGACTTCCATTGAATCCGGAAGGTCGAAAAACTTTGAGAGAGGTAATATGAAGTATATTAGAAGTTAAGAAGTCATTTGAAGTTAAAACTTATTTTGGAGAGAATTTGGGTAGAAATGAATTTGACACTACCTTAGTATTTTGACCATAACTTTTTACTCTTAACTTGGATTGATCTGATATTTGGACATTAGACACTAGACTTCAAGAGCTACAAAAGTGTTTCTCATACAAAATTTTCAATTCGACCTCTAAATGGGTCAAAACTGTCCTAGAAGTTTCAGCAGACAAAGTGCACCGGTACTGCGTAAGGGTACTTCAAACTCCAGAAGCTAAATAGTACCGGTACAGCGTACCAATATGCTCTGNAGTTCTCGGAACAGTGGAGACTCTATCCAAACGTCATATTGCTTATGATCCCGGTGAAAGGATGTTGTACCATGGTGTCGGGTTATGCGGCATTCACGGGTATTTTCTCAAGTTGATGGGCGATTAACGGGTTAATAAATGACCCCCGATTTTAGGGGCGTCTCTCTCACACACACACACACACATTCTCTCTCTCTCTCTCTTTCTCTCTCTTTCTCTTTATATATATATATACACTAGGGATAGCATGTGCCCGAAGGCACGGTGCAATTCAAAAGAAAATCAGGCACTGAATTTGGGCAGGAAATGACTCTGATACGTACTAAGTTGAAAGCCTAAACAGTCTCCATAACCCGTGCTTGAAGGCACAATACAATTAAAAAATAAACAAAACAAATATTATTCTTGAACATGAAACAATCAAACACTGAACATAGATACGCATTACGCTGAAAGTATAAATTGCATTTTTATTGTCATGACTTTGGTGAAATAAAAGTGGGTTAAAATGCTTTCGTTTTAGTTGTTAAAAGGAATGTTAAAGCCTGAATGTACCATGTATTCTAAAAAAAAATTGTAAATATTTAATTTAAAAAACATTATTTTGGTCTGTTAAAAATATTTAGACAATCTACCATCTAAAAAATGTTAACTAAACAGATAAATTGTAACACCTGGTTAGCAATCCTCAACTTATATTGCACTAATTCAATCAAATTTTGTAGTCTATTCTAAATGAGGGCCCATAAAACAATTTGTAATGCCTACACAATGGACTAAGTAAAATGTATGTGCCTGTACAACAATTTATGCATCTAAAACAATAGAAAATCATTCTTCCTACACGAACAACTACATGGATACATGTAAAAATGATAGACAAGATATAAGATTATGTGATACAACCGTTTTCTTAAAAAATTGAAATAAACCCATAGTATTTTTCAATCACATACAACTTTAATCACACAATAAAATGACAAAAACTACTTCAATGAACAAAAACCAAGCTTTGCCCAATTTAAAATTAGATACACTTGAATTACATTTTGGGTCATTCTAAAATTTGCCCAATTCAAAAACCAAGCTCCCTTTTACTTTATACTAATGAGAGAAATTGAAATCCATGTAAGAAACTTTCAAATTTTTGGTAGGGTATCCCCAAAAAATATGATGCCAAAAATATATCAATCTGTCTATAAAACTTATATATTTCATAATCATACCCAAACTATGTCATATGCATTTCTAGCTCTAACTAAGTACCAAATACCACACCAACATAATAGTTTTTACCATCGTCTTGCCTAAATACAATTATTTACTGACTACGATAAAAGCATCCTAATATTATCCATCGTTATGCCTAAACATAACTATTTACCAATTACCAAAAAAAAAAAACAAAATAATAGTAACCATTGTCCTGCCTATTTGAAACTATTTACCAACTAATACAAAAAGTATAACAAAATTAACCCATAGTTTTGTCTAAATACATCTATTTGCCAACTAATACAATAAGATTAACTATAAGATTAAATAATGATCACAAAACATAATTATATAGTACACTTTCCAAATGGGTTATTCTTTAATCTAGTTTATCAAAATGGGTCATCCATTATTGGGTTTATCAAACTTTCTCTCTGTCACGACCCTAAATGCCATTGTATCAATCCAAAGGCACTTTGCAACTTAAAAAACACCTTTAATTTGAAATCATTTTTCCTCTCTAATTTTTTAAAAAATTTTGACAAAGTTTCCTCTACAAAATAATAGCCTAGAAAAATCTCAACCTGTTTACAAAAGTTATATATCTCATAATCATACCTAAATCAACATCATAAATGTTGTCCAAATTTAATATTGACAATTTACGTGCAAGTATACACGATCAACAAGTAATAAAGTGATAAGTAGAGTAGTGTTCCCACAAAAAATTATTACTAATAAATTCTAAGTACTAACTTTATATCAATTCAGTTTTATTTAAACAATTGGAATTGAAATATGAAATTAATAATTTAAAACTAAATCTAAACTTAATAATCAAGGGTTGAATTTACCGGATAAAAGAACTTAAAATTACAACTTTCACTAATGCTTCCTATAAATATTTCTAACTCTCTTTCTAGTCAATTAATCAAAATAAGTTGTTAACTGAGAATTCAAAATTATTTATCAAACCTCTTCTAATAGTTAGATAAAATTATGTTTCCCAATTAAATTACTATATTCCTATGCAAAATAATTTGGAATAGATTCATTAAGTTTAAACNCTAGTCAATTAATCAAAATAAGTTGTTAACTGAGAATTCAAAGTTATTTATCAAACCTCTTCTAATAGTTAGATAAAATTATGTTTCTCAATTAAATTACTATATTCCTATGCAAAATAATTTGGAATAGATTCATTAAGTTTAAACTCTCATAAAAGTTACACACGGCATATAGGTATATTCTTATCCTATACACAAACTCAGCTATTCAATCCGAAGAAGAATTAACCAGACGCATGTCATCATATTCCGTTATAAACCTAGAATTCCTCTTCCAATTTCATCTAGGTTATCAAATTAATTGTTGGCTACACAATCATATACTAAGCACAAAATATGACAAACAACTCATGTATGATCAATAGAACTAGAATTGAGAGTAGATCAATTTAACTAAACATCAGGTTCCATTACAATCTTAATAAGAATTTAGTTCATAATGTAATTAAGAAATATCATTCCCAAATTAAACAACATCTCAGAAAATCAAGAATTAAAAGTAAGAGAAAAGAATGAAAACTTAGTTGCAATCTTCAATCTCTCTTTAGCCTTCAAGTCCAATCTTCTTCGTGTTGATTTCTTCGATCCTTGTCTTCAATTTTCTTTTAATCCCTTGGTCTTTTCTTATGTTAGCAGCCTCCAAAATCAGTCTATATATCTTTTCCAACTCAAACTCTAGCATATATGTAGCATTAGGGTTCAATTTCAGATCAAAAACAAGTCAAAATTCACGTCCAAAGCCAACACAAGCGCCTAGGCGCTAACTTTGCACTGGAAATGCACTGTTTGGGCAGAATGTGGGTGCCTAGGTGCTAACTTTGCACTGCCCCTTTGTAAGCCTAA